CATCCTAAGGGATTCACAGTCATGTCATTTTTAGGGAATAAATGCCAGCTGGCCTCTTTCCTTTGACATTTAGCTAATAATTGTTTCAGCCAAGTAATCCGACAGCGCTGAGCTCAGTAGCCCATAAATGCTGCTGGTGTTTTACTGAACGCTAAGACAACACTTGCTGCTCTCCAGCTCCCTGGTACATATGGTTACACACACACATGAGCCTTCCTCAGCCCTCCAGCCCTCTTATGAACCAGCTGATGATTTGCTCTGCTTAAATGTAGCTTTCCACCCCACCACCACCGCATGCGTACCTTCCATGCACACACCCAGAAACAGGGAGGAAGGAGGCAGAAAGGAAGGAAGCAGGTACCTCCTTGATAGTAAGAGGGCTGGAATTTGCTTCTCATTAACAACTCCCAGCCAACTGCTACCCAACACCTTCTTGAGCCATCCAACCCAGGAACCTCTTTCAAGCTTCCCAGTTCCAGATGTACTGCAGCACCCTGAAGATTCCTTTTAGTTGCCTCAACATCATTTCACTGACCCAGTGACACTCCTATCCCTTAACTTTCACCCAAGGTGGGTTTCCATTTTCCAAAAGACCTCTTTTTGCCCCAAGTTACATCTGCTTAACACAAAACAGGTCAAGAAACTTCGCCAGAACATCCCCCTTTATTACTCTGCATGTCTGCTGGGAGCTCACAGAGCCCACCACAACCCCCTCCTCCCTCACACTCAGTGTGCCCTCAGGCTTATCTAAGCTGCAGGCTCCTAATAACCCCTCTTGCATGCAGAGGAAGCCCAAATATTACTTCTTCTCCATTGACGGGCTATGCAAAAGGAACCTGGCTGCACTCCCTAAGCTGCCTGTGTTACCTGTTGGCTCGGCTGCTGCCACATCACCCTCACTAGGGTGCTCAGCACTTGTTGTACAGAGACACAGTTGTTCTGCATGTTGGGAGTTAGTTATAAAAGCCTCTTGCTGGAGATAAATGCATCTAAAAAGCATAAAGTATTTCAGCAGAGACAGCGTCACTGGTAGCTGTGCTCAGCGGGAAGGAACAAGCCACTTCAGAGGGACAGCCAAGGTGAGGAGCCTACAGACAGCCACTGCTAAGTGGGGCCCACGCGAACAGGCAGCTCTTAGCAACACAAACCCTCCCTGGACATCCTGCTTCCCATGCACTTGGCCTTCTCCACATCAAGGGATAGGCGCACTGAGGCAAAGAGCCGCCTGGCCAGCTCCCACCATGCCCCAGAGCCACGGCCATCGCACCCGGGGTCCGTGAGCATCCATGGAGTGACACAACCTCGTGTTTTCTCTGCCAGCAAGAGCAAGGGGGGGAATGCAGGGAGCGCCTGGACCGCAGCAGGAAGATGCAAGTCAGAGGCTTTACACTGAATAAAGGTTCTCCCACCCAGCAGATGCAGCAGCATGCTGCTGAGATGATCTTGTAACACTCCCCGGTGCCATTACGCTACCTGGTTAACCACACGGTTAGGCGGTAAATGATCCACAGCAGGAATCTGGCAGAGAAGTTACACATCTGCACTTTATAGAGCTGTTTTCTATAAGAAATGCCTCTGTTTTATCTTTAAGAAGCATTTTCACTATGAGGACAGAGATGAAAAGCCCTTCCTCCACCAAAACACTCCTTCACACATGATGATTTGCTTTGTCATGCCACTTTAATACGTGCCCAGCAGCCTCAGCTGGAGAATTAAGGCAGATCTCCCGGGTGAGCACACAGGAACTTCCCAATACCTGCACGCATTAAAAGAGTAAATATTTTTTCTTGTAGAGACATCAGCATAGGCCAACAAATGGTGCACAAATCCATTCCCATTCCCTGGTATGCTGCTGGAGCTCGCTCCATTTTGGGTCATACCAGGCAGCTTCAAATTACATCACATCTGATCCGGTGCAAGGAAACACAAGCTCACCGTGATCGAAAGCAGCAGAAAGAAGGGGAAAAAACACAGACCCGGGATAAGCAAGGTAGCGCACACCCAGCGTGGGGACAGCAAGGCCACCCCGGGGGAAAGTAGCCGATCCCAAGATGCAGCTTCTGGTCCCTCAGACGCTGGAGCTGCTCACACCTCAATGTGGTACTGATGGAGAACAAAGAGAGGGGATGCGGGCGCACAGCAGCATCGCTGGGATGCTGCTCCAAGCGGATTGGGACCTGGAAAATCGGTTCTGTCCAGCTCCCTCCGTGCCTCCCGCACCCCTTGAAGCCCGCACATGCCCTTCACCGGGACACGGACACTGCTCTCCCTCATGACCCGCTCTCCCGAGGCTCGACGTGGTCACGAGCTGCCCCTCAGGCACACACGGGTCTACCGACGGCCCCAGGGAAGCTCCGCCGAGTTACACCAACCAGAGGCACAGCACCCGGTCCCCGGGTGGGCAGATGCGGGAGGCGGCCTTGCCCGCGCCGGGGCGGGCCCGGGACGGTGCCCGGTGGCGCGGCCTCACCTGCTCAGCACCGTAGGCCGTGGCGAATTGGATGAACTCCTCCACCCGCACGAAGCCGTCGCCATCGCTATCCAGGGCGTCGAAGACGGGGCGGAGGCGCGGCTCCTCCTCGGGCCGGGCCGGGGTCTCGTCGGGGCAGCCCCCCAGCTCCTGCGGGGACCACGGCGGTGGCCCCAGGGCGGGCTCGGCGGCCTCAGGTGCCCAGAGGCCCAGCTCCGGTTCTAGCTCTAGCTCCAGCTCCGGGCTCGGCCCGTCTCGCCACGGCCCCCGGGGGAACGGGGGCTCGGGCACGGCCGCCGGCGGATGCGGCTCCATTTTCATCGGCGGCGCTCAGCGCCCGCCGCCGCCCGCCCCGCCGCTGCTGCTGCCCGGCGGCCATGCCCCGCAGCCATCACCCGCTCACATCGCGGCCGCCCGGCGCGGCGCTCCCGGTACCGGGGCGGTGATGCCGATAGCTCCGCCCGCTCCCGGGCGCAAGGCTTTGTGCGAGCCGGCGCCGGCCCCTCCCGCAGCACCGCCACCGGGGACAGCCCTGCTCCACCCCGCCGCCACCAGGGACAGCCCCGCTCCGCCCGGCGGGAGGGGCGGCCCCGAGCGCCTGGGAACGCGGTTGCTCCCCGCGGTCAGGTGAGGAGGCGGCGGCGCCGAGAAACAACCCGCCCGCCCGCGCCGCCGCTCTACGGCAGCCCGCAGAGAACCCCCAGATCCGACCGGCACCGCCGCCGCAGCGGCGGCCAGTGAACGGTGACGTAACCCGCCTGCCTGTGCCGAGGCCCCGCCCACCCGCCCTGACGGCAGAGCGAGGCCGCGCTGGGGTCACGCCCCTTCCCTGCGTCCGGCGCGCGGGGCGCTTGCACGTGCTGCCCTTTCCCACCCCCGCGGGCGCGGGGCACTGGCTGGGGGGGGGGGGCCTGCGCACCCCTCTGCAGGGGGTAACCGTGCACCAGGCACCGGCCCCCCTAGCGCCCCGCCCCGGGGTCCGGCAGCCCCTGTCCCCAGACTGCCCAAGCCCCCCGGTTTTACTCGCGTGGCTGCTGGCGTCCCCAGCCCGTTAGCGGCAGCTCTGCACCACCCAGCTCGGGCTGACCCTGCCCCCGGCGCTCGGGATGTGTCTCGATGTGCCCCACGCTGAGGGGCTGTCAGGGTGTGCCTAAAGCTAAGGCCTCTCCGAGGGACCACAGCTTCTCCTGCACGCGGGGACAGTCCCCACCTCACTTGTGTGTGGTTCAACAAGGCACGGTTCCGTACGCAGACCCTCCTGGAACCTGAGAGCAGGAGACCGCAGCAGGGACCAACAAACATCAAACCCGTACCTTCTCCAGTAGAAAATACTCATCCTGATACCTGGGAAGAGGGATATTGTGGCTGGAGGCAAGCCTCAGAAGACACCCAGGCAAAGGACCTCAGTTCAAGCACCACATCCCCATCTCTTCTGACAGGGTCAGCGAGTCTCCCCCCCAAGTCTTCTCAGCAGCTCTGTCCTGCAGCACTGGGACCACACAAGACTCTGCTAATGGGAACAAGTTTTCCACCCTCCCTCAGGGCCCAATTTGGAGCAGCAGGATCAGCCAGCATGGCAGGGCACACGTGCAGGCTTTGCTCATGCAGCAGCAAGCTACTGCAGCAATGCTCTGACCAAAGACTCCTAAAGCTCCTGATGCTGCTGCCTCACAAGACAAGCAGAAGAAGCATTCCCAAGCTTCCAGCAGCCAAACCTTCAGGATCATCCCCTGGCACAGTCAAACTGATGAGAGGCATCACAGCTCAGGGTGGAAGTTCTTTATTCATGGCCTGGAGGAAGGAGCAAAACCTGGCAAGTCTACAATGAAGTAGGAAAAATCAAGTAGGAAAAGCTTCATGGAATTCAGGATAAGCTTAAAAACTGCTGTCAAGCAGCATCAGCCTGCTGCACACAACAGTGTGTCCCTCCCCCAGGTGCTGGCACCAGACACGGGCTGAGCTCCAGCCGCTCGGTAGCTCAGCACCCTGCTAGGGAAGGAGAGGATTTTATCTAGCCCTTGATTGACCCTCAGCTATAGTGTCCCTGTGGAGGAAGGAGACAGCCTGACACTGGCGTGACAGACAGATGGGTGCCAGACAGACAACTGGAGACCTCAGGCTCCCAAGAGATAACTGCTGTGACCCACAGCAGCTAGAGCCAGCTCCAGTGGGATGTGACCTCACACTACCTCTGCTCCTGCATCCACCATCCATGGCAGCCTCTGGGGACCACTGCCCCATGTCAGACTCCTGCTGCCAGGGGCCAGCCTGGCCCTTGTTTCCCCTCCCAGAGCCACCAGCTCCTCCTGCCATGCCGAGCTGGCCCCAGAGCTGAACTGAACCCCAGGCCCCAAAAGAAGCTGCTGTTGGGGGTCCTGGGCAGCTCTCAGGCTGAGATGGAGGACAGAAGAGGAAGAAGATGGATAATCCATGGGAGGTACTGCCTGGGACTTGGGAAAAGTCAGGAGAACAACTTGGAACACAGCCCACTCACCCTGTGCTGTCCCTGCACCCTCAGCCACATCAGCACAGAATGGTGGGGTGAAGGGTGGGCTTGCTCCCCACAGCACTGCTGGGGCTCCCGCCTCCCAGCTGATGCAGGATCAGCAGCATCACCCCGCACCAGCCATCAGCTCCACTGGGGAGCCAGCACCCCGAGGTGTCCCAGCGCAGCAGCGTTCGGTCCTGTTCCTGTCCATCGGTCAGTCTCAGGCTGTCCATCAGTGATTTTTGTTTGCTCCTGCAGCCCAGAAATCTGCAAGACAGCATGGAGGTGGGTACAGTCCTGCCCTGCTCATGAGGCAGCACCTGCAGAGAGAGAGGGGAAGGAAGGAGACCCCTCTCCCAGGAAGCACCAGCTTCCTTCCCACCTCTGCAGACACAGGCAGTGACACACAACATGCTGCAGTAGCTCACACAAGGAAGGAAGGAAAAGGGAGGCAGAGGCTGTCAGGACTCTCTGTGCCCAATCCTGCTGGTGGGACACAGAAAAGGAACACCCTATCACTTCAGGGGACACACAGCAGTGTCCAGACAAGCATCCTCCAGCAGAACAAGGGGTACCATGTCAACTGCCGGCTCAGAGGAAAAACCCAGCCAGGTCACCTGCCCTTCCCACCTCATCCCTAGGGACTGTCCATGAGGATGCAGAGATGTTCTCCATTTGCTCTGTGCCTGCTCTGACCTCACCATGGCGTGTGACCCTTTTCTTCCATCCCAAAGGCAGAGGAAGGTTTGAGAACAAGCACTGCCAAACTGAGAGCTGTGCTGGCTGTCCTCACCCACAGACCCCAATACCCAGAACCTTCCTCTTCCCCAACACAGTATGTGCCTCAGGAGGGGCAGAGCCTGGGACAACCAGGACACCTGCAGAAGGTAACACCATACCCACTGCAAGATCAGTTGTACCCCCCATACCATGGGGCAACAGGGTTTGTGACAGAGGCCCTGCTCTAGTCCCATGGAGGGGGAAATGCACATCACCTAGAGTTTAGCAGAGGATGAAGCAATACCCAGCAAGGCAGGGAAGCTGTTGGCAGAGGTCAGCCAGCTCCCACCATCCACGACCAGGGTGGTGCCTGTCACATAGGAGGAGAGGGGGCTCGCCAGGTACAGCGTGCTGTGGGCGATCTCCGTCTTGTTCCCTGCACGCTGCAGGGGTATTGTGTTGAAATGGCTTGCTTCCTCAGCAAACTTCCCACCTAGGAGAGGGAGACGTCAACCTCGATCACAGGCCCACCAGCCCACCACCACTGCTGCCAAACACTGCATGCGGCTTGCCAAGAGTCCAGGGAACCTGGTGAGATCCTGGTACAGCCCTGGGGACAGCCCAGGGCCAAAGGCCTGAGTAGAGAGTTAAACGAGGGGAGTTCAAACCCAGCAGTGGGGTTTGTACTGCACAGTGAGCTTAAGACAGGACCTTGTAGAGCCTTTCCAGCCTCCAGGGCTGAACCAGCACTCCACTGATGGACTGCAACCATCAGGCAGGGCAGCTGGCTGGGCTGAGTATGTTACATCATGTCATCAAAGCTCAGAAAGCTGATGCTTGACAGACTAAAATCAGTGCCCTGCGAGGTACCGAGGATGCAGGGAGGACTGCCCCCCATAAGGGACACACCAGTGCAGGCACAGGCCAGCCATGCTCAGCAGCAACAGCCCCATGAGCTGCACAGCCCTGGTGGTCCCTCAGTCCCCTCCCAAGCAGATGCCAGGAAGCCATCACAAAGGCAAAGACAGGAGCCCCACGTTGCCCTCACCAAGCCGCCGGTAGCCCTCAGTGCCAGTAATGGGGCCCGGTGCCAGGCTGTTCACTCGGATGTTGTTGGGTCCCCACTCCACAGCAAGGTGACGGGTCATGGCATCTGGGAAGGGATCACAACAGGACTGAGAAACGAGAGCAGAGCCATTCCAGTAACGTTTGGAGGACACAGAAGACTGGCCAAGAGCAAAGGACCCCGGAAGAGCCCTGGGGGAGAGAAGAGCCTCATCCCAAAATCAGGCATGTAGTAGCCACACCAATTCATATTCACCTCTCCCAAGGATGTCTTCCCACCCCAATATTTGTGAAGAACTGGCTTCCTTCCTGGCCCCACACAGCTCAGAGCCCCAGCAAGGAGTGCTTAGGTACCTATGGCAGCCTTAGCAGTACCAGCATGCACCTGCAGGGCCTGCCCTCGGTAGCTCAGTGTTGCAGTGATGTTGACAATGACTCCACCGTGGTCCTGAGGAAGGAAAGGAGACGTGGTGTTAGGCTGGGAGCTGCACAAGTGCTCTCATGTAAGAGCAGTGGGACAAGAGCTGGGCTGGCACTGCCAGCTCTGCACTGCTGAGGCATCATTGGGCAGCACTGCCCACCTGGTCTGACTGAGCTAGGGCACCCAGTGGGGACTCTCCAGAGAGCGGGGAGATGCAGGGGATAAGCAAAGGCCACGGGAAAGCAGAGGAACTGGAAAAGGAGCAGATCACAGCTTCTTCCCCAGCATGTGGCAAAGCACGGGAAGGTGCCACAACTGTTAAAGTTCCAGGGGTAGGGACAAGCGGGATTCCCAGTCCCTGTGAGGGAACAGAGTGGGGCTGAGCAGGGTGGGTGGCAGCAGCACAGCCCTGGGTACATGGGTGCTGTGCTCCCTTTTGCCCTCCACGCTTCCCTCAATTTCTCAGGAGCAAAGCATGGTTTGTTTGGCACTAACCCCCTGCCTACAGGAGCCCCTCCACCAAGTCCTCTGGCCCTGGTTCCACTTACATGGAAATACTTCTCAAAGAGGACTTTGGAGGTGTTGAAGGTGCCAATGGTGTCGATATCTATCACAGTCTTGAAGGCATTGAAGGACAGGGCACTGGCTGGGCACAGGAAGTTTCCTGCAGCACCTGAAGAACAAGCAGCCAGGACACAGTCAGGACCAGCTCCAGGGGCAGGAAATGCCTTTTCTGGCAGGGAGCCTGTACCAAATCTCCCCCAGCCACTGCAGCAACTCACCATTGATGAGGATGTCAATCTGCTTGAACTCTCTCAGTGCCTCATCCACTGCTGCCACGATGGTTTGGGGCTGCCTGACATCGATGGACAGAGGCAGGCACTGCTGGCCTGTGGCTGCCACCAGCTTCTTGGAGGCCTGCAAAACAGGAGGAGACTTGAGATCCTTTCTGGGACTCCCTTCTTCAGCAGGCGTTAGTCCCAGAGCAAGAACTCAGGCAGGAGCCACATCGCGGTCAGCACACAGCAAACGCTGCAGGCAGGTGACAGACCTGCCCAAACACAGCTCCAGCACAGCATCACCCTCCAGCTAAAGCCCTGAGGTGGCTGAGAAAGCTCCTACAGCTCCTCCCAAACACCAGGCTGCCTCCGGGCCACAGCTCACTAAGCCCAGATACCTCCATGACCCTGCATCGACACAGCACACCCCGAGCAACATCTCTGCAGGGCAGGTACAATGGCTGAACCCCAACAAGGCATGAGCCAGACACAAGTAACCTTTACATTCAAAATATGTCAGTAGGCAAAAGGGCAGAGCAGCAGTTACCAGGGTGTCTGCCCCAAAGGCAGCTCAGGCCAGCTCTGCAGCTCAGCCTCTGCCACCCCAAGGTGCCCATTAAGGACATGTTTCCCCCTGGCTAATTCAGCACAGGGGACCCTGAGCTCAGCAGCAACCCCACACAACACCCAGTGATGCTCTGTGTTCCTGCCTGGGCTTGTCAGGCCCTTCTGTGGGAAGCTTTGAGCACCAACCAACCCACACGTACGCCAAGAGCCTGGGAAAGCAGTCCATGTGTACTCCAAAAACTCCAGCCCCTGAGGACTAGAAAGCTGCTGAACTTTGCAGCTTGCTTTCTCGCACATGAGCATGAGGGAATGTGGAATGACAGCAAGCCATGTCTGGGAGGCAGCTGGGTCATGCCAGCTCACCCCCAGGCACTGGGTTTGATCTTTGTTATACTGCAGTGAAGTTCACGCACGCAACCACAAAGCTCTCTCGTGTCAGGCTGCTTTCAGTCTGAGACCAGAGCACAAGCCATGGTGAGGAGCAGAAACTGTGACCAGCCAGACTCCAGCTGGGGTCAGACACACCAGGGTGGGTGTTTGCTCTGTTCAGTTGCCCCAGGCAGAAATAGTTGAATTCAGCTTCTTCAGTCAGCATGTTCCAGACCTGCATCTTCACCCCCAAACACAAGAGAACTGAGATGCTGGGGCTCAGCGTACCCACCTCATCACACAGATCCCTTAGCATGGGGTCCTTCTCCTACTCAGAGCTGAGATTCAAGTTTGACCTTGGGCCCTGCCACTCCCCTGCTGACAAACCTTCCCCACAGTTTGTTTCTTTCTGTCCCATCAACAGAAAGATAATGTGGTATCTGGAACAGACACCCCTAAAGCTGGCGGGGGAAGGTACCAAGTTCCACAATTAACTGAGCTCTACTGTGAGACGTTGTGGTTGCAACCTCCCCTAAACCTGCACCCACCTCTCATCACTGCTGTTACTGAGGCACTTAGAGCCAGGACATCACAGAATCCCAGACTGGTTTGGGTTGGATGGACCTTAAAGCTCATCCAGTTCCAACCCTCTGCCACGGGCAGGGACACCTTCCACCAGACCAGGTTGCTCCAAGCCCCACCCAACCTGGCCTTGAACACTGCCAGAGATGGGGCAGCCACAGCTTCTCTGGGCACCCTGTGCCAGCGCCTCAGCACCCTCACAGGGAAGAACTTCTGCCTAAGAGCTCATCTCAGTCTCCAGCCCTTGCAGCATCTCTGTGGCCTCCTCTAGGCTCACGTACACCGGTGGGACCCCGTCATAAGCCATTTCTTCTGTTGCCTTACCCAAGGCATTCCCAGCTCTCCCTTCCGCTCTGTGTCCCAGACTCACCTCCACCACCCGCTGCAGGTTCCGGCTTGCAATGACAGTCCGGCAGCCGTGCCTGCGAAGAAGGGCGGGTGAGGACCTCGCGGGGCTGCCTGCTAAGCCACCTTGACCGCCGGCCCGGGGTTACCAGGGGCTCGGCCGGTGAGCGGTGTCGTGAGGCCCTGGAGGAACCGCTGCTCCTCCGAGCCCGCAGGACTCGAGGAGGGGGACTCCCAGCGCAGCAGAGCGGGAACCGGAGCCCCGCAGCCCCCAGGGCCAGCGGCACACCCCTCCCGCCTCAGGGCGAGGAAGCCCGGGGAGCCCTCCCCGGTCACGCCGCACCTCATGAAGATCTCTGCGATGCGGAAGCCAATGCCCGACCCGCCGCCGGTGATGAACGCGACCTGGCCCCTGCGGGAACAAAAGCACGGTCAGAGCCGAGCGCCGGGCCCGGTCTCTGGCCGAGGCGGCCTCGAGCGGCGCGCCGGCCGCAGCACTCCCCCCGGCGCCCCCATGGCCGGGCACTGACGCCAGGATGTCGGGACTGAAGAGGTGCCTGTACTCGCGGAGGCACTCATCGCTGTCCACGTCCGGCGGCGGACGGGAGGCCGCTGCGGCCTCCGCCATGGCGCGCGATCCCCCGCCAGCACCGGCACTCGAACCCGAACTCTGACCCGCTGCGGCGAGGCACGGCGGGACAAAGCCGCACGGCCTGCTGGGAGATGTAGTCTTCGCCGGCGCAGCCTCCGCAATCCGCATGCGCAGGCGTCGTCAGGCGTTGCCTGGCAACAGCGCGGGGCCGGAGCTGGGTCCCGCAGCGCCCCTGTGTGTCCGCACGGGGCCCGATGCATCCCATTGCATCCCAGAGCCCCCCCCAGAGCGACATCCCGGTGCTTCCCGGTGCCCTCTGGGGATATCTGAATGCATGCCTGGGACAGCTCGGTGCATCCCAGTGTCACCCAGGGACAGCCCAGTGCCTCCGAGAGCTTCACAGTGCACCCCATAACTTCCCAGAATCAACCCAGTGTCAGGCATGGCCATCCCAGTGCCTCCCAGAGCTTCCCGGAATTGCCTCAATGCCCTCCATGGACACCCCAGTACTTCCCAGACCTTTCCCATGCCACTCCAGTGCCCCCTGGGGATACCTCAGTGCATCCCAGAATTTCCCAGTACCATCCCAGTCTCCCAGTGACATCCCGGTGCCCCCAGAGCTTTCCACTACTGCCCCAGTGGCCCCCAGTGCTTGCTGGTAGCACCCAAGGGAGGAGACCGGAGCCCGGGCTGGAGGCACTGGTGTTTATTGAAGGGCTGCCCTATGGCCCATAGGTGTAGTCCCGGTCTCCGCTCTCCCAGGCCACCAGCTCATCCCTCTGGAACCAGAAGCTGATCTCCCGCTGGGCCGTCTCCACCGAGTCACTGGCATGGACAACGTTTCTGTATGGAATGAAGCCAGAGCCATGAGCAGGGGATGCCATGTCTGGCCCCGCTACCGGCCCTGCATGGGCCATGGGGTCACTACCTGCTGACGTGCATGCTGAGGTCCCCCCGGATGGTCCCTGCTGCTGCCACCGCCGAGTCCGTGTCCCCCACCATGGCCCGCGTGGACCTGACCACGTTGTAGCCCTCCCACACCTATGGGACAGGGAACACCTGAGCCCCCCACACCCACCAGGCCCCCCGAGCCCCACATCGCAGCCCTCACCATGGCCACCAGCGGCCCCGAGGTCATGTACGAGAGGAGCGCGGGGTAGAAGGGCTTCTGCAGCAGCTGCTGGTAGTGCTTGTCCAGGAGACCCCGGTCCGCCTGATGGCAGCGTGGGGGCACATTGGGGACATGGGGCCAGTGTTCCCCACTGGCAACCCTGTCCCAGCACCCCCTGAGCCAGGCTGCCTGGGGGTATGGGCGGCAGCTCAGTGGGTACCTGGAGCAGCTTCATGGCCACCAGCTTAAAGCCACGCCGCTCAAAGCGCTGGATGACCGTGCCCACAAGCCGCCGCTGCACCGCGTCTGGCTTCACCAGCACCAGCGTCTTCTCCTGCAGCTCCGGGGGGGCTGGACAGGGACCGAGGGACCAATGTCACCAACCAGAGGCGGGGCACGGGCAGGGGACACGGCAGCAGCACCCCAAGCTGCCCACGGGGCACCAGAGACTGCTGCTCCACAGCTGCTGCCGCAGGGTGAAACTGTCCCCATCCCGAGGCCGTGTCCCCCTGGACAAGCTGTGCCTCAGAAGGACCCGAGGGACGCGCTGCAAAGCCTTGACAGGCACTTGGGCACATGTCCATGGCCAGGAAACACCCTTTAGCCCAGCGTGGGATGGGCCGGCTCTGGTTCTGAAACACCGTGTCCTTGTGCTGGTGCTGCCGGTGTCACCCTGCGTGCCATCGCTGCTGCCTGGCGTCGGGTGCTTCCCTCTGCCTGGGCACCAGCCTGGGCACAAAGCGGGTCACAGCTGTCCAGCTGGAGACGCAGACGGAGCACCGTGGGATGGCAGGGTCTGGCTTCACTATCACCCCATGGCACAGCAAGGTCTGGCATCACCATCACCCCTTCACCACACTGGAGCCATGCTGGCAGGAGGGAACACGAGTCCCCCGGTGGACTGCATCCCACCAGTTGGAGGTGTGGAGGGAACAGGAAAAAGGGGAGGGCAGAGGGACAGAGGACACCAAGCTGGGGTGTTCTGCTGCCAGCCCAGGCTTTGTGCTCCTGTCCTGGACCGCGGGGCTGGGCCGCTGCTGGTGGCAGCAACCCCACGAGCCCACCGGCTGCTCTGGTGCTGCTGGACATGGGCCAGGTTCACCAGGTTCCCACCTGTCCTCCCATTGCAGCCCTGGGGACACCAAGCCTGGGACCTGCAGGGTGGTGCTGGGGCAGCCACCAGCCACAGCTCTGCCACATCCCAGCACACAGGGCTGGGGCAGGAGACCCCGGGAGCAGCTCACACCACAAAGCGCAGGAGGCCGTGGGCCACCTGCCCTGGTTGGGGCTGCCCTTGGGATGGAGGGACAGGGGGGCAACATGGGGGCAGGATGGGGATGGGACCCCCGAAGGACAGAAGACTGAGGACAGAGTGGGGATGGAGACCTGGTCCCCAGGGTCGGGACAAGGATGGGGACAAGGTCCCCTAGGGGCAGGGCAGGGATGGGGAATAGGTCCCCGGGGCAGGAGAGGGAAGGGGCTGGGGACAGGGACCGGACCCTAGGCGGGGATGAGGACGGGGCAGGAGAGGGAAGGGGCCGTGTCTCACCGGAGCCGTAGCAGCGGGGCCCGGGGGCGCGGCTCGGGCTCAGCTGCCCCCACAGCAGGCCCCGGGACAGGCAGCGCCCCAGGGAGCCCATGGCAGGGCCGGCGGGTCGGACCTGGCCGCGGCGGGGCCCGGCCGCCCCGCGCAGAATTTAAGGGCCCGGCCGAGGCCGGGGCCGGGTCAGGAGCTTGCCGTGTCCCTCCCCTTAAAGCAGCCGCCGGGACCGGGACAGCCCCCCGCCCGGAGCACCCCGCAACGGGGCGCTTCAAGCGCTGCCGCAATGAGAGCAGAGCCAGAGGTGAGAGCGTTTCCAATGTGCATTTTACTCCTTACTCCCCATCTCCTGTTTCCCTGTCCCCACACCCTGGGACAGCAGCTCAGAAAGAGCCTGGGGGTGACATGGAGGGCCCAGGCCCTGCTCTGCCCCATTCCAGAAAACGTCCCAATTGGCTTCTCCATGAGCAGAAATGGATCAACAGATTGTGCAATATAGACAGTGGCACCCACCCCACAGAGGTGGGCCGAGGTGGGGAAAGGGTCCTCTCCAGTGCCTGCAGTGAGGGTAGAGAGGAAGGGGGTGCTTTGAGGTGCCCTTCAGTATTTATCTGTGCATGCAGAGGGGCTGAAGGCAGGGCTTTGGCCACTTTCCAGCTGCTGCCCTTGATGCAGGGGCAAACATGTACTTTCACCCTCTCTCAACCAGAGGTTTTGCAAGAAAGAAGCACCAGCACCATTGTGGGAGGGCAGCCGTGCCAGCAGCGCATGAAACCCCTACAGCCGCCCACTGAAGGAAACAATGGCCAGGGTGGGAGGTGCAGGAGGGGGCAGGGGCTGACACTGGGGGTGAGCAGGGGACAGCTGAGGAGACTAGGGCCAGGTTTGGACCCTGCACTGCATCTTCATCCACCTGATGACCAACAGGAAGAACAAGGACTCAAGGTTTCACATGCAGATGATGACACTCCAAGAGCTACTCCAAGAACTGCTGCTTTGAGCCATGTGCTGTCAGTACAGGTTCCTTAAATCACAGAATGGTTTGGGTTGAAGGAACCTTAAAGCTCATCCAGTTCCACCCCCCTGCCATGGGAAGGGTCACCTTCCACTAGACCAGGTTGCTCCAAGCCCCATACAACCTGGCCTTGAACACTGCCAGGGATGGGGCAGCCACAGCTTCTCTGGGCACCCTGTGCCAGTGCCTCAGCACCCTCACAGGGAAGAGCTTCTGCCTAAGAGCTCATCTCAGTCTCCCCTCTGTCAGGTTAAAGCCATTCTCCCTTGTCCTGTCCCTACAGGCCCTTGTCCAAAGCCCCTCTCCGGGTTTCTTGTAGCCCCTTTAGGCACAGGAAGCTGCTCTGAGGTCTCTCTGGAGCCTTCTCTTCTCCAGGCTGAACAACCCCAGATCTCCAAGAGTTCCAGCTGCTGGGAGCTCAGGGTCATTCACCTGGAGGAGGTCAGATCTCTGCAGCCCAGCGACAGATCATCCATTACCCACCTTCATGTTGGTCTCCAAAGGTCCATGACCTGTGCAGACAGTGGCTGGCAGTTGTCAGAACTGTACCGGGTGAGGCAGGGCTGAACTCCAACTCAAGCTGCTCACTGGAGGGTTTGAAACCCAAACATCAAACTGGTCCCAGTTCAGAGAGCCTGGATGTGAGGCTCTGCCTGTACACAGGTTATCCAAACAGCAGACATCTCCAACAGCAAACATACATAGAGCAGGATGTTTTCCACAAAACTGGAAATAAAGGAACCATGAAGCAAGTGCTCCTACACTCCAGCCAGATACACCCGCCCCCTGTTGTGCACGTGCAGCATCTCGCCCACATCCACATATGTTTATGGCTGAACACCTCCTCCAGGCTTCTCCTTTCACAGTGACCTGTGCCGTTTTACTATGCAGCTGCCCTGGTAACTGCAGAGAATTAAGACTGATTTAAAGCTCTGTCCTATCTACCCGTCTAGTGGACCCAGGGGAAAAATAAATCCTTCCAAGCTGCATGGTGAGAGATTCACAAGTCCCCAAAACTCCGTTCCTGACTGGAGACTGGGATTTTAACCTTATGCTCAATGCCACTCTCGGGTCAGTCTGGCCAGCAGCTGGCCTTCGGCTCAGGTCTCCTGTGATGCAACACCCTGAATGTTAGATTTCTGCCAGCAGGCAGCTCTTGGATCAATACAGACAATGGTCTGCTGGAGGCAATAAACAGACCACAACAGAAAACACCGGGGAACACAGGTACGAAACACAGTGAGGGGACAGCAGAGAAAAGCCAACACTGATCTGCAGCAGTCTGGGAGCTGCTGGACTTCGTGGGAGCCTTCTGCATCCAGGGCATGGAATGGATGATGCTGGTCCTCTTGCTTGGTCAGGCAGTACAAAACACTCTTTCCTGTAGTAGAATGGCTTGGTGACAGGCCTACAAGGAAACTAAAGCAGGTTACAAGTCTTTAAAACAACAAAGTAAGCACTTTATTTCCATTAAGCATGTTGTTTTAGTATCACAATGGAATGATGAGAAAACGTTTAAAAAAAACCCCAAAAAAAGTCTCTAATCCCCCCAGACAGCGGG